AAAAAAAAAAAAAAAGAAAAAAAAGAAAAACAGTGCCCACTTTTCTGTGCCTCGGGGGTTGACTCCTTAGACACCCTCCGATTTTCAGGGTCCTGGGACTTTGGTCGCCAGGATCACTTGAGAAAAGGAAGTGGAAACGTCGTACTCTCTGCAGTACTGCCATAGACTGAAGGTTTGTGCCCCCGACTCCACAGGTTGAAGCTGTGACCTTCAGCATGACAGTTTTTGGAGAGGGGCCTCTAAGAGGGTAACCAACATAGAATGAGGTTGTAAGGTGGGCCTTGATTGGACAGGATTAGCATCTGATAAGAAGAATCTCCAGAGAGCCCCCTCCTCCTCTCTCCTTCCATGATCATGCAGCAAGAAAAGCCACGTGGCTTGTAGATGGCTGCAGCGAGGCTACGGCTAGGAAGGGAGCCTCCCCAGACACCCCACTTGCCAGCCCTTGGTCATGGACTTCTAGCCTCCCACGAGTTTCTGCTGCTTAAGCCCGGCAGCCTGAGCAAACCACGGCGGGCACCTGAAATGCTTCAGAGGGTCTTAAGCTGGGGCCTCTGAACCTTAAAGGGCCCATGGACATGGCTGTTTCAATCAAACTGGTTTAAACGTAATCCTATGTAATTTATGGATTTTAAAGTGTTATTCCCACAAGGGGTCCAGGTCGTCACCAGATAGCCAGTAAAGCCCGTGGCACTAAAAACAAACAAATAAGATTAAGAGCCTCCTCTGGAAGACGTAAAATAAACACAGGGTAGGCAATGCCGTGGCGAGGAGGCTGCCAAACAGTTTTGAGAGAGAGAGAGACAGAGAGAGACAATTTTTTAATATTTATTTTCCAGTTTTTGGCGACACAACATCTTTGTTGGTATGTGGTGCTGAGGATCGAACCCGGGCCACACGCATGCCAGGCGAGCGCGCTACCGCTTGAGCCACATCCCCAGCCCCTGCAAATCAGCTTAATTCACCATGAATTCACTAGGGTGTAATGGATTCCAAATCCGTAAGCTTTAACTCTGTTACCTCTATAGATGGATACCGGGGTAGATGGGGTGAACATTATATGGCATTGTGGGGAGCCATTCTCACACGTGATCGGGCACCTCCCGGACTGGGTGTGAGGCGCTGGCTAAACTGTGTCGGAGCTTTCCCCACCCTCTCCTGGTGCGAGAGCCTGTCCGTGTGGGGGCGTGACTGACCCCTGACCCTGAGGCCAATCACTGACCCTGACCTTGGAGTGCTGCCCCCCTCAACCTTCATTGGATGGAATTCTCCCCTGAATTCCTTGTTCCCAATAAAAGGCCTCTCCCTGGCGTGCTCCCTCTCTCTCTCCTGCTAGCCCTGAGTAATCCTTGCTGCCTTACTGGGTGGTGCGAGGTGTGAGCCAGAGAGGTGACAGCCGTCTGGGACCTGGTCATAGAAAAGGTAATTGAGTCTGTGTGTTTATTTTGATCTCGCTAGCTAACTTTTATGCCAAGAACCTCTTTAATGAAGCCACTGCGCTGGTCGCATGGTGGAATAGAATTTTCTAAAAATATTTGTTACATTTCTGTTGAGCCTGAGCCCCTCATACCCCAACGTGCCCTCTGTGCAGGCACCCCGTGTTCAGTGTCCCTGTGCCGGCACCACAGGTGCCACAGCGGGCACCGCGAGGGGCAGCAAGTGCTCTCCCAGCAAGCCCATGGGGAAACGTAAGGGCTGGCCCCAGCGTCCTGTCCTCGCAGTGACAGGCTCAGAGAAGAGGTGAGGCATCAACACTGACCTAACCCGTCAGCCCTCCCGTGGGTCTCAGCCCTCGTCAGGCGGGCTCAGTGGGCCACAGACAGCTCTAAAGAACCTAAATATCTATCGTGTCTGGGAGGAACAATCACTTACAGAACCCCGTCAACACCAATAAAAGGCAAGTGTGGGTGAGGAGGGGAAACGGGCACCCCTGCCCCCCACGTCGGGGGAAGGCAGATGGCAGCAGCTGCACTGGGCGACTGCAGGGACCTCAGACAATTAAAAGTAGAGCTGCCACACCATCAAGCAATCCCACTCCCGGATTTTATCTAAATATCCTGATATCAGGGTCTTACAGCGATATTACTGCTCCCACACTTACTGCTATTCTATTGACAATGGTCAAGATGTGATCAACATCACTGTCTGATGAAAGGTGAATGATAAAAAATGTTTTATATATATAACAGAGTACTACTCAGCCTTGAAAAAGAAGGAAATTCTCCAACATGTGACAAGGAGGAAACTTGAGGGCATCATGCTAAGTGAAATAAAGTCACCCAAAGCTAAATACTGCATGATCCACTTACGGAAGTCATGTAAAGTAATCTAACTCATAAAATCATGACAGAATGGTGGTTAGCAGGAACTGGGGGAGGGGAAACAGGGAGATACTGATAATAGATCTTCAGTCCAGCAAGATGCATAGGTCTGGAGGTCTGCTGTTCACCTTGTACCTAGAGTCAGCAGTGATGCACACTTAAAATCAAAAACAGATCCCATGCCAAGTTGTCCTTAAAATAGAAAAATCTTAATGAAAAAAAATCAAAGGAAACCAACCAGTGCTTAAAAAAATATAGAACTGAGAGGAAGGAAAGAAGCAAGCAGAGGCCAAGTTTTTATGACTATATAAGTAAAATAGCTGTGAAAATAAACTCTTCAGGCACTTTTTCTTTGTATTGTGTTTGCATACAGTTATCTTTATGAGGGAAAGAAGTTACATAAAAACAGGTAAGATGTAAGAATAATCCCAATACCATCCATCTTCAATTATCCATCCTAGTAAAATGGATTAAAACATTGATAATGTAAATAGTGGAAATTCAGATTTTAAATGAGAACACATACATATACGCTCATAGTTCTTAGGAAAGCTGTTGGTCATTGTCTGTGCTGGATTGGTTGACGACCCCCATAATGAACTCTGGACACTCAAGTTCCTCATGTGAAGAGTTGTACTGTATTATCTACACATATCCTCCCACATTTTAAATCATCTCCAGATTACTTACAAAACTAGCAAAATGTAAATGGTATGTGAATAATTGCATTTTTTAAAGGAATGACAAGAAAAATGTTTGCACATGTTCATATAGATACTATGATTTTCCCAAGTATATTCTCCATGGATTTGGGGCCACAAATGGGGAGGAATGACTGTTCTTAATATTAGGCAAGGTCGGACCTTTAGATTATGTGTCCAAGTTCCTATTGAGTCAACTCTACTAGTTACATTCGACCCACTTATAACACGTGACCACTATGGGATGGTCTGAAAAATAGATTTAAAAACACTAAAGTAACATTTGTCAAGTTCTTTACATCTCATAAAGCGCTTCCACACACGGGCTCTGAAGGTATTGAAGAATTGCCTATCAACACATGCTTCTGCAAGCTCTGCTGTAACTAAGAGAACATCTAGAATTAGTTTTTTTTAAACTATCAAATTAGAAGTGGCTCTAGTATTCATTCTATTAAGCACCTTGTTAGATCAGATGTCTATTGTTTATATCATCTAATAATAAAGGAAAATTTAACTGAGCCAGGTGTGTACAGATGTAGGCATGTCAAACAGGGATCAAAACAAAATCTTGAAGGCTGTCTTTCCTGGTGGGTAGGTGGAGATAGAGGAGTCAGGCCTGTCCTGTTGGACAGTCCCTTTAGCATTCACATATATGTTTGAACTTGACAGAGACCGAAAGTCTCAAAACCAGAAAGGGGGAGATGTGTGCAAAGGGACTGTTTGATGCCATTGCCCTAGAAAGTCAGGTTAGAGTAGCATGTAGAAGGCGGAGAAAGCGAGGGCCCGTGCCAGGTGAAGAGGCAAGTTAGTAGACCCCAGGCAGCCAGGGAGAGCTGTTCGCAGGAGAATAGTAAGGTCACAATTTCTCTGGAGTTTTATGACGCAGAAAGACTTCCTCATTCACCTTTGCATCCCCAACACCTGGAGTGCCAGGCACCGGGAGGAAGGAGCTCACCAGTGGATTCAGTGCCCCCAGGAGAGCCGTGGCCCTGTGGGCAGCAGCAGGCTGGCGGGGCTGGGTGGGGCCAGAGATGAAGCCCGAGAACGTGTAAGTTCCACGACTTGTAGGATGATTAGCTTCTGGCTAGATGTAGGTTCTTGTGAAATTTGGGGAGGCATTTGACAATGGGCACAAGGGCACTTTCAAACACTCCTCATCCGATTTCCTAATTGCATTTGTGGGACTCTACCCTGAATCAACAACCCGAAGCGAGGGAGGGCTCCGTGCGTGAAGACCCTAACCGC